GAAAAGTGAATTTGTAAATTTTCTTATTTTTTTCCCCTTATCATAAGGATATGACTGAAAATGTTTAAATTCTTTACACACTGAAGCACATTTTCATTTCCTAAATAAATGCTTTTATTGCTCAATTTTCGTATTAATAATAATGGAAATTATATAAAGCACTACAAGTGAATATTTTTCTTTTGCAACTAAATGACACATTTTATTCCCATTTCCATCAATAAGTGAACACTAAGAAGCAGGCAGATATCTGTCAGTTTAAGAGAAGCCTGTTCTACACAGACAGTTTCATTCCAGCCAAAGCTGCAAAGTGAGTCCTTGTTTCAAAAGTCATTAAGTAAACTAAAACACAAAGAAATGAGCACTTAGAATTCATGTTCTTGAATACTAATAATTTTTCCTCACAGAAGAATATGATTTATCTGTTCATTTCAGATATTTGAAATGATAGAATACGGTATATTAAAGAGTTTATCCAAATTCATATTTTCATATTAGTTAGATCATGTTTTTAATCACACGGCAAAATATCTCATAATAAAGGAGGATGTGGCCATTTACCTGTACAGCTTATAGGCCAAAGGACAACCCTAAAATGAGTAAAATATTTTGTTTAGCTCATTCCTTCACATCTCTGCCATTTTTAGATGCTCTTCAATTACTATGCAAATACATCCTTATAGTGGCTCAATGAATTGAAAATATTTCAAAACAAAATGCATTTAAATATTTTGTTTATTATTTTTATGTGTATGAGTGTATTGCGTACATGTGTGTAAGTATACCCCTGTCGTGCAATGCTCACAGAGGTCAGAAGAGAACATTGAATTCCCTTTAACTGGAGTTATGGATGGTTGTTAGCCATCTTGTGGGGCCTGGGAATCAAACCCATGTCCTCTGCAAGAGTAGCCAATGCCCTGCTCTTAACCTCTAAGCCATCTCTCCAACTTCACGTAGTGAATTTAATACATCTTACCTTGCAAATTCAGCCTGTGGCTGGGGCAAATCATCTAACACGAAATCTACTTTATAATAAAGTTTGAGTATCTCCTGTAATTCCTTGAGTACTGTATTACAAAGGAAAAATTGCAAACTCAATAATCAAGAACTGCCACTATCAATATGAAATATTTTCTCATTGATACTTTTTAAGACATCAAGTACAATAAAGTAGAATAAGTTGCATTGCTTTGTAGTTGGTGCCTGTAACATAAAAATGATACATACTAAGCAGATCTTTATTAGTTTGTTATAAAACCAAACACAGACAAATCTTTTTCAGCATTTATTAATATGCTATTCAATACCATATCCAAGTCCTATACAATAGAGTATTTTAAATTTAGTTCTAATTAAAAAAAACTTTTAAACAGCAAGCTATAATGATAATAATCATAATTGCTTCTGGTAAGTAAATTATTTTCAGAGTGCAGAGTAGATACCAGGAAAACACAGTGACCTATTGTCTTTCATGTCTACAATTTGTTGAACAAGAAACTCTAAATTAAGAGCTTAGAAAATATTTTTGCTGGTATTTGAAATAATTAGCTGCGAAAGTCACGGTCCAAGACCTTGTTAGGATTTGGATTTTTAAGTGCTTTTTCTTATGCTTGTCATGACATGACATTTTATCATTTGGTATTTAAGGAAGTCTAGATCATTCCCCTCCCTGGATCTCTGTTGTAAATTATGAAAAATTACCTTACCTGATATGCAATATATTGACCCTTCTGCTCGAAAAATGCCTGCCTGACAAATAAGAACAGGTCTCTATGAAGTAAAATAGTCTGTGCATTTTTTATAAGTAAAGTTTTCATGTGGGAGAATATTACTTCTCATTCCATCAGTACATGGAATTCTCCACTAGTTTCTTTTTTCTTTCTAGTTTTATAAAAAATAAATTAGCTGTACCTCAAACTCTATCTTTCCACAATTCTTAAAATATGAAAGACTTCACTGAAAGCAATATCGTATAGGTAACTTGTTTGTTTTTATTATCACATTTATAAAATTTAAGAAACTTCAATTGCTGTATCATTCTGTTTTCATCACTGGTAAATTCCAAGTACCAACAACAATGCCAAACACATGACAGGGGATTAATTAACATTAGTTGAGTTAATGTCCCCTTCTATTTGACTATGATATCTCTGAGAACTACATTTTGTCTGACTACCAATTATATCTCTTATACCATAGCAGGCATTTGGTAAATACACATTTAGCTGGTAAGTTGAATGGTAGGCTTACAAAATTATACCAGTAGTAAGATATTACTAGTGGAAGACATGAGCATACATCTGTAATTATAACAGTTGGGTGATTAAGGCAGGAAGATTGTGAGTGAGAGGTGACCTTGAGCTACAGAGTCAGACCCTGTTTAAAATATATACGTTTATATACATATATTTATAAATATAGAAACATTTGTAGATGTATATGCATCATATATGTATATACATATTTTTCCATATTGATACTAAAAGTTTGCATGATATAATGGCTGACTCACTAATGAACCATTTTTTGTGTTAGGCTGTTGTTGTGGGTTCTCCTCAGGCCAGCTGTGAAGACCCTAACCTTGATCGGGTCCCCTGCCAATTAGGGGGGCAAGACGTGCGGAGTCACAACACACAGACTCAGGGAGTAAGGTAGAAGCAAGCACTAGGAGAGGTGCTGCAGGCTCCTTTAATGCAGGAGGGGGCAGGCATTATATTTCCCTTTTCTCCGCCCCTAAGTCCTTTTAGTCAGCGTATCGTTTTCTGATTGGTCCGGGGCACGCAGTCTGTCAGCAGTCACTGGGCTTGTGAGCGGGATACGGAGGCATGGGCTCCTTTTGGCGGCTATTTGGGACCAAGAAGTGAAGTGAATTCTTGCTGAATCCCAGGGTTCTGAGTCCGTGCCATCTTTGGAGACCTCTTGCTACAGGCTGTGAAACTCCTGGAAATAAAATTAAAAAGTTTGTTGAATTTTGTTCATTTACAATGTGGTTCTTTTCTTACTCTTTTACTAAATTTCCAAATGGCTGAATGTGCTTACATCATTAATTCAGATATTACAACAGATAAGTCAGAGTAATATATTTATGAATATTTCAAACATGAAATTTGTATGTTTCTTTTGTATTCACAGTTTCTTTCAGTCAAAAGTTCAGTATCACTACAAAAACCACTTAAAATTCTCACAAAGGCTCATGGAATAAGAGCACTGGCTACTCTTGCAGAGGACCTAGACTTTGTTCACAGCTCCTACATGGCATCTAACAACCATTCCTACCTCCAGTTCCAGGACACCCACTGCCATTACTGGCCTCCATGGGCATTACATGACATAGCTGCACTTACATACATGCAAGTAAATCACTCATATGTACGAAAATAAATAATAAATAAATAAGTAAATAAGTAAACACGTTTAAATTCTCACAAAACTGAAAGCAGAAAAGACTCACTGGAGACAGTATTGAGATCTCATCTACACTTTGCAAATGTTTGCTTTAATGCTAGTGATAATATTAGCATTCATAACAAGGTCAATCAAAGACAAAGCCATTTAAAGTGAAATTTTAGATAGGAAAGCTAATAATGCCCATGTTCATAGGTAATCATTTCTTTTTAAAAATATTTTATTATTTTTATTTTATGTGTGTTAGTGTATTGCCTGCATGTAGGTAAGTGTACCCATGTAGTGCAATGCTTGCAGAGGACAGAAGAAGCTGTCGGATCCCTTGGAACTGGGGTTATGGAAAGTTTTAGTTGCCATGTGGGTGTGGGGATCCAAATCCCGGTCTTCTGCAAGAAAAACCCTGAGCCATCTCTTAACCGCTGAGCCAACTCTCCAGGCCCTGTAATGATTTCTTAAATGTAAACTATCTTTATAACTTCAGATACTATTCTGAGTCTAGTACTCTTATACTATTCATTTTAATATACATATAAAACACTTTGACGATGTGTTGGTCCAAACTACAGACACTTGTTTTGCTTCTTTTTCATAGTCTCACATGCCATGGCAAAAGACCATTCCTTTTTCTTTCTAATTTTCCTTTTGTCTTTCTGTGTTGTATATTTTCCCTTTAGATGTAGTACAGTGAGTTCAGATTAAAAAGGAAATAGAATCACAGTTTATGATACTATTGACTCTGGAGAATATCTGAGGATGCTATATTTTTCCTTGACAAATTGATAGGGTGGAATTCTAGAGGCACCACAAGATGTCCTTCTGAAGAAAAATTCAGGGGGTCATGAAATCCGGGCTTAATCCCAAGAAAATCGCAAGTGTGTGGATCCACCATCAAGAGGGGGACAGGTGATACTTGAAGGTTAATATAATATGCTTTTTTTTTAAACATGATCTTTCATTGTTTTTACATTTCCACAATTATGTCTTTCTTTTCCATGCTAATTGTTCTTTCTTCTTTTCTTTCTTTTTCTTTTTCTTTATCTTTCTCCTTAGGAATCAGAAAGGAAACAACATGAAGTTGGAGAAAATACTCAGCATAATTACCATCTTTCTAAGATGTTGATCACATCAATATTCTCCAAGGTATGCAGGGCATGGCAATTGGATGGGATGGCTTTCCAGCCATCAATGTGTTTCTACTGCAATAAATTAAAGTAAAAGTTATAGTAGTTTTAAGAGTCAGTAACACAACTATCTTATATTATATGCTTAGATGAAAATAAAGTGTGTCCGCTGGATTAAGACTACTGCTGAGCCCTTACTACTCCTAAAATAGGGAGGGTAGTACTAGGCACTTTGAATATCTTCCTTTTAACCAACAAATCCAATTTAAATAGTATTGTTGACAGAAGAATATTTTGCTACCAGTCTCTCTAGTTACTCATCATAGCAGTATCTTCTGTTACCAAGCAACTCATTCTGGTCATGTCAATAAACTTAGAAAGTGGCAATTTAGAATACATAGAACACTAAATAATATATATATATATATATATGTATTTTTTTCTCTTCCAGATACCTATCTAATTATGAAGACATTGGAAATTTTTCACAGTTACGCCAAGACATCTTCAAGTGAGGGTGACCTTTTTGCCTATGCAACAATGTGTTTAACGTTCCTCATGACCAGAGAGGAGAAAAAAATTCTCATTTAAAAATTCATTTTAGGATCATTGGAGCGGAAGAGAATCAATCTCAGAGCTCCCAAACTGTATTTTCCTTGTATTGCTTGGACACTGAAAATAAAATGCTGATATTATTAAAATGAGTGTATTAGAAGCTTTTTCTATAAATCAATCCTATAGGTTAATATGTAAATAAAGGTTAACATTTATATGATAACATTTCATAGACTATCAATTGTGTGATCTGTGTAACAGCCTGCCATTAACAGAAACAAACTCACTAAGAATTATCAAGACACTAAGGGGTTTGGACTTTAATCTCAAAATCAAACCAGGGCTATTCACACACATTATTTCTCAGAACTCAGTATCTTGAACTTTTTATTCATGAACAATTTTCCTTTTTTCTTTGTTGCAGTGTCTGTAACTATCCTAGATAATTGTAATGATCTCTCCCTATACCTTTCAGAAGAAATCATTCTGTGTTCTAAATATTTTAGATACTATAAAGGATAATTTTAGAAGATCTTGGTCAGCTCAGTGCAGTTTGTCCCAGGATGAAGAGAACACTGTCCAATTCTGAGGGAAATGGAATGAAGGGTCATGAGTAAGACAGTGGAACCAATCTGGCTAGAGGTTTCAGATTAGCAACTGCGGGCTTGATAATGTCCTGATGGCATGACAGGGCACAATACGCTCTACAAACACTGCAGTTACTTGAAAATTACAAATAAATATTTTATACAACAACCCATATTTTCAGCTTCCATTGAGAAACTTTGTGATCTAAAACTATGAACTTCATTCTTCAGTACAGGCCTTTGCCTGATAGGTTTTGACCCTGTTGCAGGTGCCAATTTATAAAGTCAAGAGGGTAGATTTCAGGAATCCACAACAGCTCAAAGCTTATTTTATTCTGTCAGTATCTTGGAATTATAATACCAAATCTGAAAATTTATGCAGAATTTAAAGAGCAAGATGGTTTTATCTTCTAAAAATGATTTTATGCCTGGTATCAACTGATCAATATGGTCTGTGGGAGTACAAAGATACAGAAACTACTCCGTGGATCATTCTAGAAGGACTGCATATCCTTCAAGTCTCTTCCAATTCAGGAAGGAAAAGGATTTTAGAACAACAACAAAAATAACTTTGTATATCATTTTATGCTTTTTTCTTTTCCTGTTCCACATTCTACATGGACCCTCTGTTGCTCGGTATAGCGTCCAACATCATATGTGTGAATTTGTTTCTTTGTGTCACATTGCTTCCTAAATTTTTTCTAAATGATTTTACAAAGTAAAGTTTAAATAATGGGAAAATAAAAACCACTATTTTTTTTGTTTTATTAATTATAAGCAGATATATTTGATTCAAATTCTAGTTTGCCTTTTGTTACATTATATTTAAGACCTTATAAAAGAATAAACTTAAACTGTCTGAATTTTCATTCAACAACAAATGCTTATAGGTTATGATTATATAAGAATAAATTTTGGTTATATACATTTACCCATTTATTACATTATTTTCCATTAGTGTCCAATTGTCTTAAACAGATTCCATGTGTACAAGAAACTGAATGAAACTCAACATAAGACTTCATACCTATTATTATATTTAATTAACATCTATATTAATACACTTTGTCCCACAAAATTTTTGAATTGTGAAATCTAAATTATTGTTGTTGCAATTTTTAAAATGTTTTGAGTCATTGAAATTATTCAAATATTTATTAAAAGATCAGTGTCCATATAAAATACTTGACATTAGTACATTGTTTTTTGTTAAGCCAATCACTTCTATGTGCTTTCTCTGATTTACTTCTTAAAATACCTTGAGATGTGAATAAAGTAGCTAATTTTATTAGACTAATTTCACATGAAGTTTCTGAAGACTGACAGAAGGTATAGTTTTCTTGTCTGTCGTTAGAGACCCCAGTTTCTACCCTCTACCTCTGGATCTAGCATCCTTCCACTAGATCATATTTTCTTTCACAGAACATACAGTGGTACATTGCTGATTGTGAGAATAATAACCCATTTATTGACTGACAAAACCTGAGATTGCTTTTAAAACACAGGCGATGTTTTTTTCCCAGGACAAGCACATCTTTCCAGTGTAACACTTTATTTAGATGTTATAAATAAGGCTGCTCTAAAGGAAGGGACAAGGATAGAGCTCTTTTTATTCACCACCTGTTTCACACTGTAGCTCTTGGGAGCTGTTTTAATATTCATTACAAAATTAGAAACACTGCTAAGGTAGCTCCCAAGTTCATTAGTCCCTAGAAGCGTACATCCCGCTAATGTGTCAGATAACAAGCACCACCTTGTTGATCTTGTTGTCTCTGGTAATACGATGCCTATGCGTAATGGTTTACCCCTAGAAACTTCCTCTTGACCCATTCAGAGGTCCACTATAATTTTATAGATCCTAGGATCCAGTTATAACTATTGGTTATTAATTAATGTATTTTGTTTCCCCTCTCCTTGGTATTTTTTCAAATTAATTATTTGTAGCATTGTAACAATGAAAAAAATGTCCACAAGGTAAAAATCAAAAGGGTGCTTAAATAAGTGACTGACCTACTGATGGGTCTGAAACAAATATTTTATGAAGGTAAATATTCTTTATAGTCATCTTACAATGTTGTAGATAATGAATCTGCACTTCTATGATCATATTGAGGACACAAGGTATCAAAAGGCAGGAGAGAAGCAAAGGGACTTGAGCACTGGAAATTGCTGCAGTAAAAGCAAAGGTCAGGATATTAATGGAGCATTTACTGTGAGGTTGTGCTTCCAGTACCAAAATAATTCTATATAAATGCACTGGGACTGATTTAGGAATGCCTTTTATGCACATTTGTGGCAGGTGAAAAAAATACCAGCACACCTATTGTTCACATGTATCATCAGCCCCATTAGTGCTTCTATTATAGCACGATATCATTCTTAGCTTTATTTACTCTGTGTGTGCATGTGTGTGTGGGGGGTAATGTGTTTGTGTGTGGTGTATGATACTATTCTTGGTAAGACATGAAAATATGCCTACTGACCCCAGATGGGAAACTGACAAGAGACCAAAGTAACAATGAGAACAAAGTACAAACAGATGAACCAATAAGCTTATTGGGGTTACTCACAGGAATATAGATGATTTAATGACAGCTGTATCAGCTACCCCAGGTTGTATAACAAATCATTTTACACCTGGAGCCCTGGAGTACTGTGCAAGACTTGCAGACAGCTCCACAGGTTGATGAAGAGTCTGCTGTCTTCACCAGTCCTTACTGTTTATAACCTTGTGGAGGGAGGGATCTTGTGCATCTAGTCAGTTTCCTGGACTTCTTGAGACTTTTGAGTTTTTATGGCCTGAATCTTAAGGAAGCTCCCTTTAGACATTGAGGTTTAATGAGTTCTCCTCCAGTATGAAATGATTCAAGTCAGAGGCGATGTCTTACATTTGTATCTTCCTACTTCAGCTTCCCTAATGCTGAGTCTGCAAGCAGGTACCAACATACCCAGCCACAGTTAGTTCTTTTTATATATTCATTACTAGTTTATCTCAATATCTGAGAAAGTCCAAGTCTTTCCAATGTGCTAAACAAAAGGCCAAGAAGGGGCATTTTTGTCTTTTTGCTTTTGGGTTTTAGTGGTTTTGTTTTTGCTTTTACAGGAAGCCTCTTTTTGGAAGCACCCTCATTCCTCCATTACAATCAAGACCAGAGAGCTTTTGGCTTGCTGCCGCCTTGGCTATCTTCATTTAGTGCTGTATCTCCTTATCTTCTGCTGTTTGTTTTTTCTTTTTTTTTCTGGTTTCTATTTCTTTGTAGTGTTGCTTGGATTTTCATTTTCTAAACTCTTTAATAATCATTTTTCCCTATTATTAGATTATTATTTTTCAAAAGCCTTTTCCTAGTATCTAAACTTTCTATTATTCCTTTTTCTGAGGAAGAGATTTTCGTAAATCTTCGAGGTGATTAAATTTTGGCTTTGTTAAAAGTTTTCTGTGTTTGAAAATGCTTTTGCTATGCCCAAGTTTATGATAACTTTTGTTTAGATTTGGCCTTTCTATTATTGGTTAAAACTTTCTTAGAAGTCTGGCAATACTTTTCTGCCCACCCATAGCAATGAAAACAATGGTATCAAGTGTAAGCTGTGGAGAAGGGCTTATTGGTGAGGGGATCGCCTGTATAGTTACTGGGTGCATAATAAAATCCATTGCCACATCTGCTCCCTGTGACTTTAATTCTCCATACAGAAATCTCTCTATATTTGTCCCAGCGATGCTTGCTTTGAGCCGGCCCCATACTGGAATCTTGTGAGGAAAGACAAGCTGGTTAGTAATGTTTGGAATATATACTGACATGAGACTTAAATTTTCAGTACAACATGCCATCTTTATATTTAACTGTTTGAGTAAGCACAAACAGCTAAGCAAAGACTTCTGTCATTCTAACTCCCATCATCCATGGGTAGGGAGTACAGTGCACAGCCTCAAAAATCCCCTTGGTTCAGCAGAGAGGGATACCAAGGTAGTTCAACTGCCTGTTATAAAAACAATTCAATTTCTTTTTCCACTTTTAACCTAAACCACAGTTATATCTGTTGCCTCCAGTTCTTGACTGTTTCTAAAATTCAGTGTCATAAAATTCACAGGATGCCTTGCAGCACCTCTTAGCTACTTAGGGAAAGTTCATGTCAGCTGTTTGTTTTCCTGATGAATCAGGCTCTTTCTTGTCATTTGATTTGTGGAGAAAATAAAGATCAACTTGGTGTTCAATGTTTCTGAATTAACAGTTACAAAGAGTTCATTATCTTAAACATACCAAGACAAGGGAAACAGGGCATGCTGGGTAACCAGAGAGCACTGCTGGTTCACAAGCATACTTCCAGATATCACATAGAATCCATCAGTCTGAAAAACATATTCATAAATTAGCACTATCTGTAACAGTATATTTTTTTTAATATTGCTCAGTATTTTTCGCTGTAAATATATGAATAAGACAAAATTCAGAATGTATATTTTAAGTGTAGATATTTATAACTTCTAGCTGGATTTGATAAAAAATTTCTGATTTAAAAATCACACACATCAATTATAAAAACTAATGTGGTTTTAACTAATTGCTCTCAATCCTGACACATATCCATTTCATTTAGTCTCTATTTTACTTTTCATTTTATTTTTCCATATACATTCTTTTCACTTTGTTTAAAACTTTGTCCTTATTATTCTTAATAGGTTATATATACTCACTATTTACTTCTGTTTCTCTCTTCTTTTCTGAGTTTTTATTATAATGACCAAAACATTTGAAATATGTAAATTAGTCACCTAAATAGGAAAACCCTTTCAGTGACTGAAATTATCTTGTTATTTTTAAGCATTATATTCAATTTCTATCCTTTTAAAAGTGTATCATTTTGTAAGTTAAAGGGTAAATTGATGGTAAATAATTTTTCATACGTATCAGTGCTGTGCTGTCCACACTAAGAAATACTATATTTTATTTGACGAGGAAAGGGTCTTGGAAAGGAAGTACTTTATTGTATGTATTCCTCATTCAAACTACTGGCTTTCTCTGCTGTATAAAATGTTCTTCCTTCTGCACTCTACCACTTAGATAAACAAAAAGCATGTGAAAAAGAAACATTTATTTTAACTTATTTGATTGCTAAGATTGTAAAAATAAATTTCATTCAAAGTAAGTTCTGTTTCTTGTTGCCAAAGTGAACATCACTTATGAAAAGTTAGGAGCTCTAGTAAGGTTAACAAAGAAAACTTTCAAGTTGACATCACAGTACATTCTGTTCAAGAAAAATGTAACATGTGATGTAACTACATTGTTGACTGACTGGGCTGCCATTTCAGCCCTTAGTGTAAACGTGCCCTGTACTTCAAAAGAAATAGGAATGGAATTCACTACTTTGGATGTTATCAAGGCCACAATCTCCTCGGTCTGTAAGGAGTGGATCCAAACCTTGGCTTTGTCATGGTGACTTAATTAAAATTATAGTTCTCTCAGCTTCATTTTAGTTCACAGGGAAATAGGTATTTGTTACCTAAGATTATTATAAAATCTAACAAGATCTATCCACAAAGCACTTATTAGTGTATCTGGCTTATAACGACCATCCAATGAACAGTTGTTAATAATATTAAAAAGCCATTCAAACACATTTGACCAAAATGAATGAAACTGTAAATCACAAAACAAAATTTATTCAATTTAACAGCAAGATCAGTAGCATTACCAATATTTGCACTTTAAGCAAATGAAAACAACTGAGTATCTATACTTACGGGAGGGGATGTACTGAACTAATCATGTCTCTAGATCATATGAAATAAGAGGTGGCAGAAGTTGCAGGAGGGCATGCCTTCATTTTAAAGATTAAGAAAGGGGGATTAAAATGTTTGTTTTATCAATCACTTGCAATAGCTTTCTTCCCCCATACTTACAGGAATTGTTTATTTAACAAAATATTCTTTGATAGCATGTTATGCATCCTGTTGTGTTTACCAACCATGCAAAGGAAATACCTCCTTTTTATGCTCGAATGCTTTCCTTTTCCACAGACGTTTCCACTGGGCCTGGGAGATGGGCAGTTCTATGCATGGACAGATGGCTTGAGAAGAAAGGACTGGCATGACTATGAGAGCATTCAGAAAGAGGCTATGCGCTCAGGTATGGAGTCAGTGTGAGATACACTGATGCTTTACTCCCTACAGCATCTCAATTGGCACCAGGAAGATCTTGTTTAGAATTTCCTCTTCGCATAACAAATATGCCTGTCTTATGGGGCATTAGAGATCAGCACTGGACAGAAACAAATGACTTCAAATCTCACAAAGAAAACCAATATTGAATGGACTGTACTTGGCTATAGAAGAGATCCTTAAAATTTTACAAGTCTATATAACCTTGTCTACTCAAGTCTTTTAAAATCATTTTGTGAATCATATGGGGCTCAATAGGATAGAATCCAGGAAATATGTATACTGAACAAGTTTCAGTCATCAGCTAAGCTGAAGTATATCTAACTGGCAGTGAAAAGCTCCCGGGGAGTACAAGTTTGGGACATTTTAAGGGGTTACACCATAAATTGCAGCAACTGGGTACATGAAGTTAATGATACTTGGATAAAAGTTAAATGAGAACAAGTATATATTAACTTCTGTAGAAATCTTGTTGGTGATATAGTTGGAAGGAAGAAGTTATAAGAAAGAATAAGTCCTTCTAGAAACATTGAAATATTGAGTTCTTGAAAGCTAAAATTCTGAATCAGTATCAGTAATGTGAAGTCCCACAGAAGGGACATGATAGATGATAGATAGATGATAGATAGATGATAGATAGAAGATAGATAGATGATAGGTAGATAGATAGATAGATATGTAGACAAGGTATTTAGAGATAGGTGATAGATAGATTATGATAGATGATATATAGATGTTAGATAGATAGATGATAGATAGATGATGATAGAGGAGAGATGATAGATAATAGATAGATAATAGATAGATAGATAGATAGATAGATAGATAGACGATAGAGAGGAGAGATGATAGATGATAGATAGATGGCAGATAGATAATGATAGATAGATAGGTGATAGATAGATAGATAGATAGATAGATAGATAGATAGATAGATAGATAGGCAAATAAATAGATACATGGATAATAGATAGATAAAGTCACAGAAATATGGCAACTACTGTTTGGAAAGGGATTTGAAAAGCACCGAGGTACTACCTCAGAGTCAAGTCAGAAACATAGCTAAGACTGCCCTGTTTGAGATCCTCATGGTCAACCATCCACACAACCATCTCCTCAGTATAACTGCATCAAGACAGTTACATAGTCCTGACATTGCACAGGGCTTTTCTATGTATGTCAGAGAGAAGTGACCTGATTATAGAATTTTTCACTCTTTTCTCTCATTGTTTATTTTTAATTAACCCAAATCTCTATTAAAATAATCTTTCCCAAAGATGTTCCCTGTTTCGAAAGAATCAACACTTTGGGTTTCAGCATCTTTCCACCTTGAACATAAGACAATGAAAAATCATTAAAATATGTTCCTTACCCCCAGGTTCACCTTTTAATCCTCTTATCTCTTATGTCTACCAGCTTGGTTGACTCTGCATTAATCTGGCCATCTGTTCTTTATGGCTTCATGATGGTGAAGGTTTTTGGAGATGTTTACTTAAATTTGACAACTGTAGCTGCAACAAACAGATAATAATAAAATAATCAAAAAATATTGAATTGATGTTTAACACTTAGTACATTACTGAACTTCATAACAAAGATGGTAGATGTTATTTGACTAAAATTATATAAAATCCTAAGTATTTAAGAACTTATTAACTTTTTGAACATCGTTTAGTTAGTAATTTGTAAATCTGGATAAGATTGAAGTAGGTATACATCCAGATAGGAAACAATAGTATTTGAAAAATATGAAGCATTTACAGAGACATAATCAGGTTTAAAACCTTTTCCATAGTGAGTTATGTATCAAATTTATTTCTATTTTTGATTTTCTACTCTGTTGAAATTCCCTAAGGATTAAAGACATATCTAAAATAATTGGTCAATTATTTGACCATCAGCTAGTAAACCTGCTGGATAAACAGATTTTTTAAATTTCTCATCTTTCCATGGGTCAAGAGGAAATAGATATACAAAATAAACTGATATTTTAACATTTTTAATAGAATTATTTCTTCAATTCTAAAATCTTGGCAAATTTTAAAACATTTATATGAGTCACTGGAAGATATATAGATACAAATGAAAGGACCTTAAAACATTCAAACACACACCAGTATAGGGTCAGAATAAAATAAACATTCCTATACAGCATATCTAAGCAAAGTGTGCCATTGTGTCTTCTCTAAAACTTAAAATTTATGTTTACTCTCTATTTTTCTACATAGTTCTTACAATATATGTATTTATTGTTTTGGTTTTTCTTGGGTTTGAACTACATTTAAAAATGTAATCACAACCAATGATTTTCTTCTTGCATTCATAAATATTTTCAAGATTCATCTATGCACATAATGTTAGTTCATTTGTACTGTTCTTTAATTTTTTATAGCATTCTACTCTCTTCAAAAATTTGAGTGTTTTCCAGGTTTAGTTGTCATGCATAATCCTACAATAAGCATTTTTGTGCATGCATTTTCAAAAACAATAGCTTCTGGGGGCACATATCAAATAGTAGATTTGTTTGTCTAAAGAATGTACATCTCAACTTTACTTGGCCTTAATACACTGTTCTCTAAAAATTTTACACAATTATCACTTCATGGATTTAATTCCCTTTGCTATAAGTCCTTGTAAACCCTTGATAGTGTGTATTTTACCCAATATGATGGTTATTAAATGATACGTAATCACTTCAATTTGCATATTAGTTGTCATAATATTCACAAGCTATTTTTCCTCTCCTTTCTGATAAAATTTCTGTTCATTTCTTGTCCCTGTTTTACTTTCTCTTAGTAATCTTCAGTGTTCTTTGTTTGTTTTGAATGGTATACATAGGTGGTTACATGTAGAATAAAATCTTATATCACATTTTTCACATGTAAAAATCATCATTTTATGTATATATGTTAGAAAATAATTCTAATTTTGATTTGGTTGAATTTTAAAATTCCCACTCTTGCTCTGACTCTCCCTCACTTCTTTCAATGATGTATCATCATCCCATCATCCCTCCTTAAATGATTAGATTGGATTTAAATTTCATATAATCATACATAGAATATGGCAATGATATAAAATGAAATATTGAACATAGGAATAAATTAGAGTATTTGTTAAATTACACAATACATCTTTTACCATGTTTATTTATTATCATTCAGAATAGTTTGTAACTCGATTCTAAGAGATTTGTCAGTGTTAATCTTAGGAAACTAATTTCTTCCTAGATTTCTCTACCCTTTTTAAGATTTCATACATGAGTACAACATAGTTACATATTTCATCCCTTCCTCCTCCCCCTCCAACTATTCCCTTTGCCCGACACTTTCTCTTTTATTAATTACTCTTCTATTATATCTATTGTTCTATGTGTATGCAAATACACTAACATACATGCATTTTTATATACAGAGCTTAATATGTTCATTTAGTGTTGCTCATATGTACATGTGTTTACCGCCTACCACTTGGGATTGGATAATCTATCAAGGAGTTCAACCGCAGAGAAAACTGACTATCCCTCCCTTGGCAACCGTTGATTGCCTCCAATTATTCATCTAGGGGCGGGGCCTTGAGGAATTTCCCCCATCCACAGTGGTATGTCAATGAGTGTGGTCATAATGGAGGTCCTGCTTAGGTATGGTTGAGATTTCATACCTACAGCTATGTCCTATCACTCTCAGAATCTTCTGGACCCCCTCCTCCATGATTTTCTGAGCCTTAAGTATAGGGGTTGCATTGAGGATGTATTGCTTGTGACTGGGAACCCCATGGTTACTAATTCTCATATTGACCAGTTATGGATTTCTATTTGTTGCATTTGTTACAAAAAGGAGCTTCTTTGTTTATGACTGAGAGTTCATTTATTTGTGGTTATAAAATATACTGGGGCCACAGGGAGACCCTGTCTCAAAAAGACCAAAGTATATATTTATATATGTTTAAGATATAGTTAGAAGCTATGTCGATTTAGGAAAATGCTAGTAGTAGTTTCTCTATGATCTCACCAGCCAAGGTGTACTCTGCTAAGTTTGCAATACCATGCATGAGTTCCCTTTATTGAGTGGACCTTAACTCCAATGAGATAGTTGTTGATTACCCGTAAGATGTAAGTGCCACTATTACAGTATTGGGGCTACCTTGCTAGATTGGTTATTGTTATGGTTCACAGGCTTAATGGTTATGTAAGACTATTGTTTAGGCATTTAAAAAAAAACTTGGAGGACATTCCAACTTACACCTGATATATAGAATTTAGGGAGTATTACAGACTTAGCAAAGTGGTGTAAGCCTTTAATCCCAGCACTCTGCCATCAGAGGCAGGCAGATTTCTGTGAGATCAACATCAACCTGCTCTACATAAGGAGTTCCAAGCTATGTAGAGCTACAGAGACACTGTCACATACACACAAAAAAGAAGTATTCCAAATAGCCTATTAAAATGATTCACTTGTAAATTTTTTAGGGCTTTCAGGGTAGGATTTCATAATATTTACAAGCAATGGCAAGGATTTTTTAAAACATTTTCTTTTTTTCTAACCATTTTTTTGCCTCTTCAAGACATGCTTTACAGTCTATTGTTGAGTAGTGGGTAATAGTGGCTACTCTTGACTTCATATGATACTTACAATAATAAATCAAATAATCTTTTTAAAGACTGAATCAATATCATTTGTCTAATCTCTCTAATGTGTTCACACTATATCATGTTTACTAATATGATACAATTACTCTTTAATGAATATGCTTTTCTGATTTGATTAACTGAGTATATGAATTTTAGTTTATTTTCATATATTTTATTGGTTGTAGCCGAGCATGGTGGCACACGCCATTAATCCCAGCACTTGGAGAGTACAGGTAGGTGGATCTCTGATTTGGAAGGCACCCTGGTTTACATAGGGAGTTCCAGGTCAGCTAGGGCTACAAGGAGACCCTGTCTCAAAGAACCAAATAAATAAACAA